CAGCGTCTCATCAACATTCTGTGGTTAAAGTCTTCTGTAGATATCCGTGGGCTTTATGCCTTCATTAACAAGAAACTTCATCACCACACGCTGTTCCTTACACGCACTAACACTGTTGTTTGCCATTTTGATTAACGGTCTCTGGCCAGGGTCGCGACATGTGCGCTGTATATCAGTAATAGAACACACTTGCTACTTATTACTGCATCTAGCATCCCTTTTTATATCTGTAAAATTAAAAATCCCAGCTTGACTTGAACGCCCCTTGTGTTATCATCTATAAATGTTTGTCTTTTTAATAAGAATTAACACATTTAATGTTGGTCTCTGCAACACACAATAACACATGGATTTGTAATTTTGTTTTATCCATTCCTATGCTACAATACAAATAGTTGGTATGCAGCTGTATTTAATACCTTGTAATTTATTTTGCTTTTTCACAAGTCAAATTTTAAAATTACTACTTGCTACATATATTAATTCTGTGTAATTTCAGAGCAGATTTCTGTAGAGACTATATTCAATTTAAACTGAATCTGTGTGATACTGGGAAGGTTTACTTTAATAGTGGCCCCTGCAATGGCTTATACTCACTTTCCATTTGCTACACACTACTGGGGAGCAAAGGGCAGTAACTAAATTCTGTGTATGGAGCGGTAGGCTCCCTTGTTACTCTTCCATTCCTCTCATGTGACACCACTGATGGCTGTTATCTGCTAAACCAGGAACCACTGCCGTCACAAGGGAGTAATTACCCCGCACTGTATGAGCTTAACCTCCCTGGCGGTATCCCCGAGTGTAGCTCAGGGTAGTTTCAGTACCACATGTGGTAACCCCGAGCTACACTAGGGAATACCATTCAGCGTTGCTCAGGGATTCCCTGCAGCACTTACCTTGTCCTTCGCTCCCGCAATGTGTCCCCTGCAGCGTCCCTGGCCATCTCCTCCGGCCGATGCCGGCATTCGCCTTCTGGTCCCTGCGAGTGTCGGGATGTACGGGGGACGGAACCGGCGGGAGATTTGAAAATTTTAAAAACTGACATTCACAAAATACACTAAAATAACATAGTAAAACATTACTGTATCAAACCATTTCACATACATTTTGTCTCTAATGCTTTGTCCTGTGCCCTGCCTGCATTTTTACTGTTCTTTCTGCCTGGAAACTGAGAAAAGCCCATGGCGTCCAAAAAGCTTCCCTTTAGGTCAAAAGCGGTTTTAGACCAGCTAGAATACAGCGATAGTAAATCAGAACCACTTGCAGAATTGAGTGATGATTCGTGGGGAAATTCTTCATCAGACACTGAAAAAGATTCTGCGACTTTGCTCAGCGATGTGCGAACTTGGCGCTCTATTTAAAATTTCAGTGTTTTTGGTTTGATTACATTATTAAATTAAATTTATTATTATTATTATTTTTTATGATTATTATTATAATTTATGATTTCCTGTTTCAAGTTTTATTATACCTGGGATGTTTACTAGACTCTTGTTCGGACAGATTTCAGTGAGTTATTCCTAAAAATTACAGGCCTACAATAAAAAAACTACATATTTCCATGCAAAAAAATGTACCGCTTTCAGCACAGAAATATGGACATAATCATACCGCTGAGGAGGTTAAACTAGGACCTACGTGGAGTTTAAAACACGCACTCCTATCCTTGCACCATGTCAAAAATGGAGAGGCCAAAGATAGGTAAACAGAAGCTGCTGCTTGAGCTGGCTTTAAAGTGAACCTGTTGCTTTGGTCTGCAAAAGTAACACACAGGTTCACTTCTCGGCCTTTTGGCTAAGATCAAGTGTAATATCTGTTGTTTATCAGTGTCCAGTAGGGGTGATCCGCTGTCATTCTTGCTTTTAGGCAAGGATGGCTGACTGTATAGTACCCTGCTGGTATGATGGGGGCTCTGAAGGCTAGTACTGGCTGGAAGAGAAACCGAGGCACCCACAGGCTGTTGGTGCCCGGGAGTAATTCCCGTGGGAAAACCGGAGGGGCAAAGTTCCTACTGATTTGAATGGATCTACCTTGTCTGGCCAGGGAGGCAGAGAGTCCATGGAGCAGTGCCCCCTAAGAGTGGTCGCCTCAGGGGTGCTCTTAGTAGCACATGGGGTTTGGACCCCAAGTGTGAAAAGTGCACATGGTCACTGTTCCAAACACTTTTTCTGCACTGCGCCTTTTAGGACTAGGTCTTTTGGAAAAGTCCAGGGCAATTTTTTTTGCTACAGGCCTCAGGGCCTAGCCAGAGTACAATTGCACGGCCACTTATTTATTTATTCATTTTTCTCCTACATTTTGTCACCTTTCACTTTTGTGTTTTTTTCTCACTAAGATGGAGGGTGTGGGTCCTCGATCCTGCCCTGAAGTCTAGGGGGAGGATGCCTGGCCGTCAGGTTCCTTCCTCCCCTGTCCATGGGGGGTCTCTCTACGGGAGCCCCCTGACCTAGTACTTGGTGGCCAGCCTCGGCTAGCCACAAGGAAAGGGGTCCGCCAGGCCTTTTGGCTAGGTGGACCATGTGGAAACCTTTGTCCCTCTCAGGAGCTTTGCGCCCCAGGGGATCAGGGTAGAAGTCCTCCCTCTTCAGCGAATGGACTAAAGCACACCCCTAAGTGCACTTTTTTGTGTGTTTTGCACTTGCACATTGTTTTGTTCACCTCCGCAGTCTAAAAGGAAAAAAAAAAAAAACCATGCAGTTCACTTTAAACTCCTCACAATTAAGCCGGTCATGTAACTGCCCTCTTAAGATAATTCCTACTCCAGGGAGAGACATACAGTCCTAACACATTAAACAAACCACTACATGCCCAGTATTTGCTCTGACTACAGAGGCTAGAGAGGAGACTGGAAATTGTCTGTTGCTGTCAAGAGGTTAAATAAAGTTTCAAATCAAATTGCATGACTTACATGGTGTTAAGGACTTCATACGCTAAACATCTGTACAAGAGTAAAAATCACTTCAGCATGAGATCATTACAGAGCAGGAGGCTCCACATAACAGTACTGCAACGGGGATTCCGAACTAATGCACTACAGGTAGTTCAGGATAAAACCTGCAACTCCCCTTCAGTTACTGAGAATCTGCACAGTCACAATATGCTTTGTAAGATTAAAAGAGGATGTTACAGAGTTCACAGGGAACTGAATGAAAAAAAGTAAAATGTCAGACACTGTAGTATCTAATGATCCTTTTATCAACAAGTTACATTTTCAGCAAAAACCTTGAAGAACCTTGGAAGACGACTGGTTTATAAGACAGAAAGAATAATGTTTGATTGTACTCTTGCAAACATATTGCTGTTATCAGTCAGACAGTTCTACAAATCAGATACAAACCAGTAACATTCCAAACTGTCTTTTTGCACCTTTATCACAGAAGATTCTGTTAATCTTTCTATGTTTAACATGCATAGGAAGAGGAGTACTGCTGTAGACTCTTTAATTAGCTGCATACTGCCACCAGCAGGCTAAAATACATATTGCAGCCTGATAACATTTGGCTTGTTTTGGCCATGTAATAAAACAATTATGTATAATGTAAAATACTCTAATCTGCAAAATATTGTTATTGATTATTACTACTCCAAGTAATGACGTATAAAGAGTATGTGAATGTGCAGTCATCCATAGTAAATCGAAGTTCAGTCAGAATACTGCAAGAAATTACTGCTCTTTGAATAACCTTACTGAATAAGACTGATTATTGTAATTTTCAAATAAACTAACAACCAAACTACATTATGATAATGAATTTCACTAACCTTGCCCATATATTGCAGAATTTCTCTTGTTCAGACCCATGGACTGTGCAAGAGAATTCTATTTATTTTCCCAACCAAGCTAAATAGCGTGGATGGACAAATCTCCACTGCCAGTTATGGTTTTCTGACAGGTTGCACCTGTGGGTGCCAGAATGACCAAACAGTGACTGCATTTAACTAGTCTAACATTTTTCCACTTGGCTGCTGCAATTTTCAGATTGAAGGATGTTGAGCGGGAGGTACCAACATGGCCACCTCTGCTCGAATTTAGGTTACTGCATCAGAATCAGGCCAAGATTTGCTCCATGTATGGCGACCTTGAGCAGAGTGATTTAGTTAAAGCTGAACTCAAGGTAGATTTTATATACAACTACTCCAAAGCAGGCCACAGATGGATCGAATCTTGGCTGGGTTCAACAAGGACTGGCCAAGATTCAATCCATCTATGGGCAGGCTGGTTGTAACAAAGTCAATCCACTGATCGTCTTCAGTACAACCAGCCTGATTTTTTTTCTTGTGATCACTGCCAGCGGCTATAGCCCATTGTGGAAGGAAAGAAAATAATAATAAATAATCTATGGGCTGCTTAAGTCCCTGAATCTATCTTGATATCAGCCTCATGTGCTACCTTTCACAAAAGGACTAAGACTGTGTAGGGGATGGGTGGGGTGGTGTAAGGGTCAACCTGCTAATAAGAACTGATAGATCCTCTCCTCAACATGCTGCTACACCTTTATTATATTTGTAGGTCGTGGTCTACTGGTGACTAAGCTGTATTGCTTAACTGTAATAAAAAAGTTAAGTCATTGACCTCTCTATGCTGTCAGGCAGATGTTCAGATCAAAAGAATGAGTGAACAGAATAACAAATATTTTGGAAAGTAAGGCAGATAACTATATCTGTTATATACTTAACACACTATGGCACAATCAAAAGTTACATTTCATCATTTCTCTTAGACAAACAGTGGCATAACTGGATGAATCTAATTCAAAGGAGAGCTTTAACGATGGACTTGCTGTTTGTAGAATCTCTGATTTTGCCCATTTTCCCCTGCTTTGATTTTGGATATCATCATCTTCAAAATGTTCATATGACAAATTTCGTGGGTATTTCAGTATATGCCTGTAGCACCCCGGAATATTTAATTGCAGAGGGCCAACTCGAAATTTGCAGAGCTTCAGACCAGCGTTGGATAAAGCCTCCTTATACCAATGACAAACCTGGTTAGAAGGATACTTAATACTGTGTCCTGGCATGGGAAGAACTACCTAAAAAAACAAACATATTTCAGTCTATAAATAAATGAAGAAAGTGGTACACAGTAAAATTGTTCTTAACTGCTAAATGTCTTCAGGCACCAACTCCAGCTTTAATTGCTAAAACCAGCAACCACCCACTACCTGAAACCTTCCAAAGGCCTTTTTTTTAATCCCTATGCAGACCCTTTTTGCAGTCTTCTTAATGGTCTGGTGATATCACAGGAGCTTCCTGTTCTTACTTGGCAGCGGCAGGGGGTGGGTATTCTTCCAGGACTTGTACTGAAACAATGACATAAAAGTGCAGCTTAGCTCTGAAGCACTGTGAGCTCAGCCTGTGGTATGATGCGTCCCCCAAGGGGATTTGTCTAACACAGGCTGAACTCACAGGGAATAAGCAGAATGATGTGAATTTCATTCTGCCTGAAAGGAACAGCAGTGCAAGACCAGGGTGAAAGCTGTTGGTAGCACTGGAGCATGAAAAGGGTAAGTACAGCATTTGATTACATTTGAATAGAGTAGGAAGTCCATACGTTTTTTTTTCTGTAACATTTAAGAGATTTCCCTTAACTTCCTGTCCTGTAGACACATAAGCAAGCGAGAGGAAATCCTGTAACAGTTGTCAAAGGAATAAGTGTGCCCTTAGCAATAAGTGTTCTCCTAAATGATACGATCAACTTTGGAATATGTTACACCTGTATTTGTGGTGTAACATGTTCCAGCACCTATCCCCCTCATCCCTGAGCGTCCCATCCCTTGTGGGATAGCAGGCAGCGGTTCCTCTCCCTGCAATCACTGTCAGATTTAAAATTGGATGGACTCCTCCCGAACAGCCATGTCATTCATTTACAGAAATGCCACATGGTGGCAGTTATTTTGTATCTCAAAGGACTACTACTGCACTGATCAGTGCACTTCTAGTCTATTCACACTTCCTCCAGCTTTTTAACTGAAAGCCCATATGGAGATAAGGGCAGCAAGTCGAAGGGAGAGTGTGCAGGAGCCTGACGTTTCACCCATGATCCACTGATGGTGGGCGCAATGCTGTGCAGATTACTTTTAAGAAAAAAAAAATAAGTGCACATTTTTCCCTGCAAAAATATCTGGATATATCATTTTTTCCTTAAAGGTGAAAGCATTGCCACTACTCCCAACCAGCCAAGAAGAATAAATAATAGAGTGGTCTCAGTCTACATGTCTCCACTAAACAACACACTGATGCATTTCACTCTGTCCCTGGGGCATCAGGGTGTATGGTTCGGTGGAGACATGTAGGCGAAGGCTGCTCTTTATCGTTTATTTACCTGGGCTGGTTGGGAGTTGCAGCGATCCTTTCCTCTTTATCCTTACTATCCCTCTGGGTTGGTATTAGGGCAAGCCTGCACCCCATGGGACACGGATATGCTTTCACCTCTACTTTGAGCGGTGCCAAAAGCAATCTAACTAGTATCATCAGAGTGTTGATAGACTTTACATGTTGCCTGTGTTTGTGCTTCAAAGTGCATCTAAAACCAAACATTTTCTACATTGCAGTTTACCAATCCTTAGATGCCGTGGCTGCATTTGTTTTCTTTTTCCATGCGTTATCCATTGTTACCTTGTGATCTTGAGAATAACACACTTCTCGTATCTATGGAGGGTGCCATGGTTGTCACTAAGGCTTGATTTCAAATAGGTCTGCCTTCATCTCTATTACATGAGGTATGGGGAGATTAAAAGTGTACAGTAGGAAGATAGTTTTTTGGTTTTAACCCTAGTTTAATTTAACTTTTAAATGAGTTTACAAACTTTCCTCCCTTGTTCCAATACTTGCAAACAAGGACACACTGGACCAGCATAGAGTGCGGTGATAAAACAATTATACACAATGGTCTGCTTTGCCAGTGTTAATTTTTGATTCATTCGGAAAATTATGTAATTTTCATGTTATAGACCATGTAACAAACTTAGTTACCTGGTTAATTAAATATACATTGTCTGCCTCCTCCGTGGCTGTGACAGTATGAACCTATTTAAAAAAAAGTAACAGTATAGTTAATATACAATGTAAACAAAATGCACACGCATATTTCCAATATCTTGTTGTAAAGGTAGACCTAAAATGTATATTCTATATGAAAAGCATAGAAGTCAGTTGCATCACATTCACTAATTTTAAAAATGGTCTATGAGAGCCACATCTGGATATTAAAAAAAATTGATTCAATAAAGGATATTTTGTTCTGTGGCCTATAAATGTTACATTCATAAAACTCATGTATGATATGAACTGTGGTGTCCTCCTTTCATACATAAATGTACAAGATATTGCCATGATAATACAATTTACTTACTCTATCTCCTAGTAAAGATTTCTGATTCTCATCCTGATAGCGTAATACCAAGTCTCCTTCCACAACTCGTAAACCATATGTAGCAATTCGGTAAGATGCTGCTTCATTCCAGACTTTGCTGCAAAAGGCATGGATGTAGAAGATTCGCATTGAATGTGGAATACTGAGCCAGCATCGAATATATCCCTCATCACTCATTCCGTATCTATTTAAAGCCCGCAGCATCATCCTTTCTCTTACTTTAAAGTCAGGCATCAATGCAAGAGCACCTTTAGCATCCCCTAAATAAACAAAAAATAATAATTAAAGCTAAAGTCTAAGCAATAATTACAGCCCACAAATCAAAAGTTCAGTATTGTGATGAAATATACAATTCACCTGATAAACAGTGGCATTTGTCTTTCAGGTAATTGAAAGGCATAGTAACAGAATCACTATTTTTCCCTATTGCTGATGGCCATTTTCATCTGCACTGTTATACCCCATTGGCTTCACTTTGTATGTCATACATATGTGACTAGTTCAGTACAAGGGCTACTTGAACAAGTAGTCCAGAAAGCAGCATCAACTCATAAACTGCTATACTGCATCATATAATCCAAAATTTGAGAAGGTAACTAAACCATACTTTAGATAATTATTTCTACATATTTTCCTGTTACTGCCTATACCAGAGAGAGAGCTATCATTCTACCCCTGTACTAATATTAGTAATACCTCATCTGGAATATGCACTACAGTTTTGGGCACCAATTCAAAAAAGAACATTGGGGAACTGGAGAAAGTACAGAGAAGGGCACTCAAACTGATAACATGCATGTAGGAGGTCAGCTACAAAGAAAGATTAGAGGAACTAAATGTATTCTCTCTGAAAGAGATTAAGGGGGGATATAATCAACATGTATAAATACATCAGTGGTTCATACAGTGAACTCGGTGTAGAGATATTCACCCTGAGGTCATCACAGAGCACAAGGGGGCACTCTTTACGTCTGGAGGAAACAAAACTTATTCTCCAAACATGGAAAGGTTTCTTCACAGTAAGAGCTGTGAAAATGTGGAATAGACTCCCTCAAGAGTTGGTTCTGGCCAGCTGAGTGGATTGCTTTAAAAAAGGCCTGAATTGTTCCCTAGATACACAGAATATAACTGGATACTAACATTTATAGGTAAAGTTGATCGAGGGAATATCCGATTGCCTCTTGGGGGATCAGGAAGGAATTTTTTTTCCTGCAGGAACAAATTGAATCATGCTTTGCTGGGTTTTTTTTCCTTCTTCTGGATCAACCATGGGTATAGGATTATAACTTTTTTTTTTCTTTAATGGTTGAACTGGATGAACTTTTGTTTTTTTTTCAGCCAGACTAACTATGTAACTGTATATTTAAAACAAACTTGTACATTGATGATAGTATTATACAGATTTAAAACATTTTCTCTTGGGACTGTGCACAGGGGCTGTTGCAGTACCGTTAGCAATAACGTGTTTAATTACTTCAAGACAGCCCACTAATAGGTGATTATTATTGATATTACTATACAGTGTATATATATATATATATATATATATATCTCAATCACATATATACATATCACATATATATATATATATATATATATATATATATATATATATATATATATATATATATAGCACTAACAGTTTGCTCAGTGCTTTACAATATAAAAGGAGACAAGACAGCAATGATACAATTCAGTACAAGAGGGTTAGGAGGGCCCTACTCCTGAGAGCTTACAATCTAATAGGGAGGGGCTGGTGGAACAAAAGGTAAAAGCTGTGGGGGGGATGAACTGAAGGGAGAAATAGAAGATTCAGTTATTAGCTGAAGGCAGGATATGTTTCCCTGCAGTGATAGGTTTTCAGGGATCTCCTCAAAGTGGACAGAGTAGGAGATAGTCGGACATATTGGGGTAGAGAGTTCCAAAGGATGGGAGAGGCTCTGTAGAAGTCATGGAGATGAGCTTAAGAGGAGGAGACAATGGAGCTAGGGAGAAACATATATGACAGTTATTGCCTACTTTCCCTAGTTCTTGTTCCTACACCTTTGCTCTGCCCCTGGTTCCTACTAAAGCAGAAATCATTCCTTGGTATAGTGTTCTCCCTGCAGCACTCATAGTGCACTTCTAGGGTGGGACACTGTGTTAACACACAGGCCCAGCAGATTATGAAACTCCTATGACAGGTACTGTTTACAATCTACAAGCTGCCATAGAGATCTCACAAGATTATAAACACACTGAGATGAAAAGGCAAGAGCATCTCAGAAGGGAGGGGAGAGTTGAAGACAGTTGCTCTGGCTGCAAATGTTCAGACTGAATGGGTGCTCAGTTCCTGCATGATTTGGAAACTGGACATGCTTGTTTGATAAGTATTATTGTGTTGTTCATGGTCAGGCCCAAAAGACAGGCATATTATTGAGGACTATACACTGCTTAATAAGTATTTTCATACTTGCTAAACATATGTATTTAGGTTCATGTTCATAGCTTGGCCACAGATTTACTCTAATAAAAATCTGTCATTATAGATTAATGGAGGCTGCCATAGGGGACCATTCCTTTTGAGAATGTTAATTTCCTGGCTGTCATTCTGATGCTCAGACCTCAACACTGTCTGAGTTCCGCTGACTTGGAGCAAGTATAGAGATAAGTAGTTTTGACACTCATTTACAATATCCTTGTTCTGGATCTAAAACTTAAAAATATAAACGTCAGACATCTAGCATTTTGACTTGGACTGTAATGGCAGCACACATATTTCTCTTGTGTGTGATATCTGAAAGAAGCCTGGACTTCAGTTTTAGGCCTAATGCACACTTTGGCTCTTCTAAATGCTTTTCTTCTGGCAAGAGAAAAGCAGCTGCAAAAACTCACCTAAGCTGCATTTTTTTCAAGCCCGTGCTCACGCACAAAGGCGAACGCACATGTCAATCCCACATAAACAGCGATTGCACCACACAAGTGAAGTATCACTGCGAATGTCAGAGCGGGAGCAATAATTCTAGCACCAAAACTCCTGTGTAGCTCTAAACTGGTAACCGCTAAAGGCTTTTAAAGTGTTGTTTATAGATAATTAATTCTATGTAACCGGCTGCCATTCCAGAGGTATCTGCAATTTTAAAACGTAACATGTTTGGTATTTATTTACTTGGCGTATCATCTTTGTAGATTAAAAAAAAAATGGGTATTATATTATATTACGTGTGTGCACTAAAATTCATTAAAGTGTATTTTTCCCAAACATTTGCATTTGAAAAACCGCTATGCAAATACTACATTACATTAAAAAACTTCAACACCCACCATTTTATTCTCTAAGGCCTCTGCTTAAAATATATATATATATATATATATATATATATATATATATATATATATATATATATATATAATGTTTGGGAGTTCTAAGTAATTTTCTAGCAAAGCAATGCTGATGATTTTTACATATACGTAAGAAGTATCATAATAACCCTGGTCTTAAAATGGTGTTAATGAACTTCGCAAGTAGCAGGCATGGGAGGCTCCCTGCACTGAAGTTAAATTCAAGCAGAAACAAATCCATAAATGCATTCATACATGTGTTATCGATATTTGCTTGAACTAGTAATAACAACCTATTGTACCCTATTGTACGGTAATACTAGCATTTAAAATTAGAGATATTTTCAATACGGTAATACTAGCATTTGAAAATTACAGATATTTTCTGCACATACAATTTATTTTTCAGTAAACACTGCAATGGCACACAAGCAGATACAAGCAGAACATTTTCATAAAAAGCAAGTTAAAAGGACAGATTATTAATGTTTCACATTCACTGATTTTCAGTGACTACTGGGGTTAGATAAAAAAAGAAAAAACTACTGCAGTAGAGAGTATATATTTTGAGCATTTTAAAATTCAGTAATTTAAACACAGAGAATTGCAATTTTACACTTGCCTGACTCAAAAAAGTATCTTTTTGCTTTGTTTGCTGGATCATCACAGTCCTCTGGTGTGAAGAATAACTTTACTGCCAGTGCCTGAAGAACACAAAATAGTTTTCATTTTTTGAGAAGGAATTCATTACACTGGATTCTAACCTGTAACAATAGGTATTATTACGCATATTGTTAACTGTGAAAAAGTGTCTGGACCTGTACCATTTTAGTGCTAGTAGGTAAAAATATTCTCTTTTTTTCTTATACACTGAGGGACAGAAGAAGTCTTAATCCTTCCAGATGTCCAAAAGCAGTGCAACTGTGAGGAGGGCAACATAACACAAAGGCTACACCGAAGAAAAACAACAGAAAATTGGAGATCGTCTGTTGATCAAACCTGTCTGGGGGTTCAAATGCCTGATATGGTCTGAACAGAAAAATTGAAAGAACAGCAGACCAGCCTTGCAAATCTGGAAAGATTTACTAGACGCAAATTCTCCAAGAAGCACTCGCATATCTAGTGGAGTACACCTTGACAGGAAATGGGGGAAACACAATCCTTTAGAACATAAGCATTGAGGATGGTCTGCCTGAGCCACCTAAAGATGAAGGAATGAGAAGCTGAAGCACCCTTACAGGTTACTTCTGGGATGACAAAATAAGAATTAGTCTTCCTGAAAGAAGCAACAGATGAGAGAGAAATTCTCATTGCCCAGACCACATCCAGACAATGGAAAGAAATTTCAGTTTGGTCAACTAGAACCAACCAGAGGAGCGGAAGAGCAATGTCATTCGTGAAGTGAAAGGCAGAGAAAGCAGTCCTAGGCTTCAACACCACCTTGTCCCTATGCAGAACCAGAAAGGATTATTTGCCACATAAAGCCTTCAGTTCAAACACTTGCCTGGAGTGAAGGCTACAATAAACAACATCTTGTGGGTGAGAGTAGCGAGATATATCCCTAATTGTTTTAAACTGCTTTTTCTGAAGTGCAGAGGAACCAGATTTAGATCCCACGGAGTCACAGTGGAGCAGACAAGGGGAGCTACATGGGAGGCCCCCTGTACAAGATCTCAATTAACCACTTGCCTATCGGTCACTTTTACCCCTTTCCTGCTCAGGCCAATTTTCAGCTTTCAGTGCTCTCACACTTTGACAATTGCGTGGTCATGCAACACTGTACCCATATGACATTTTTATCATTTGTTTCACACAAATAGAGCTTTCTTTTAGTGGTATTTAATCTCCACTGGGTGTTTTTTTTGCACTATAAACAAAAAAAAGACCAAAAAAAAACTTTTTTCTTTGTTTCTATTATAAAATTTTGCCAGCAGGTAATTTTTCTCCTTCACTAATGTGCGTTGATGAGGATGCACTGAGGCTGCAGCACTAATGGGCACTGATGAGGTGGCAAGGATAGGCAACACTGATAGGCTGCACTGATGAGGCGCAACTGGTGGACACTGATGAGGAGGGACTGATAATGCTGCACTGATATGCAGCAATGATGGGCACTGATGAGCAGCTCTGACTGACGGCACTGACGGGCGACACTGCTGGGCACTGGTGGGTGGCACTGCTGGGCAATGATAATCAGTGCCTTGATGATCAGTGCAGATCTGCTCTGTGACAGCTGCTGGTTATCGGCAATACTTTCCTCAAGCTGTGACAGCGTGCGGAAAGTGCAGACGATAACCGACAAATGTATCGTATTTTTCGCTCCATAAGACGCACTTTTTTCCCCCCAAAAAAGGGGGGAAAATGTCAGTGCGTCTTATGGAGCGAATATAAAGCGGCCGGTCCGGTATTTCTGCCGCCACCATGTCAGAATACCGGACGGCCGCTCAGCTGTTCTCTCCTGCAGGGCCTTACCTGTTCCCCGCTCCCAGCGCTGCACAGTCTTCCCGCGCTGGCTTCTGTGACAGCCGGGTGCCCACTGCGCATGTGCTGCGCTTTGTGAATGGTCAGGTGTCTTCTGGGACACATGACAGGTCCCAGAAGGCGCCGGGCCATTCACAAAGCGCAGCGCTTTTCGCGCATGCGCAGTGGGCACCCGGCTGTCACAGAAGCCGGCCCGGGAAGAAGAAAGGAAGGACAACTCCGCGGAAGTGGGAGCGGGTACCTGACAAATTCAGGTACCCGCTCCCCCTCCCTCCCCAAAGGTCAGCAGTCTCTGGTCATTCCCTGCACTGTGTCCGCAGTCTCTGGTCATCCCCTGCACTGTGTCCGCAGTCTCTGGTCATCCCCTGCACTGTGTCCGCAGTCTCTGGTCATCCCCTGCACTGTGTCCGCAGTCTCTGGTCATCCCCTGCACTGTGTTCGCAGTCTCTGGTCATCCCCTGCACTGTGTCCGCAGTCTCTGGTCATCCCCTGCACTGTGTCCGCAGTCTCTGGTCATCCCCTGCACTGTGTCCGCAGTCTCTGGTCATCCCCTGCACTGTGTCCGCAGTCTCTGGTCATCCCCTGCACTGTGTCCGCAGTCTCTGGTCATCCCCTGCACTGTGTCCGCAGTCTCTGGTCATCCCCTGCACTGTGTCCGCAGTCTCTGGTCATCCCCTGCACTGTGTCCGCAGTCTCTGGTCATCCCCTGCACTGTGTCCGCAGTCTCTGGTCATCCCCTGCACTGTGTCCGCAGTCTCTGGTCATCTCCTGCACTGTGTCTGCAGTCTCTGGTCATCTCCTGTACTGTGTCCGCAGTCTCTGGTCATCCCCTGCACTGTGTCCGCAGTCTCTGGTCATCTCCTGCACTGTGTCCGCAGTCTCTGGTCATCTCCTGTACTGTGTCCGCAGTCTCTGGTCATCTCCTGTACTGTGTCCGCAGTCTCTGGTCATCTCCTGTAGTATGTCTGCAGTCTCTGGTCATCTGCTGTACTGTGTCCGCAGTCTCTGGTCATCTCCTGTACTGTGTGCGCAGTCCCTGGTCATCTCCTGTACTGTGTGCGCAGTCCCTGGTCATCTCCTGTACTGTGTGCGCAGTCTCTGGTCATCCCCTGTACTGTGTCCGCAGTCTCTGGTCATCCCCTGTACTGTGTCTGCAGTCCATTGGTTCAGAATATTTTTTTTTCTTGTTTTTCCCCTCTAAAACCTAGGTGCGTCTTATGGTCAGGTGCGTCTTATGGAGCGAAAAATACGGTATTTACATTGTGATATGCTGTGTCAATGGACACGTGGTAAAAGGCCGCTGTGATTGGCCTTTTACCTTATCACGTGATCAGCTGTGTCAGTAAAACACAGCAATCACATAGACTATTGGGTGCGTGCTGCTGGGGGCGCATAGGAAGGCGCATTCTAGGAGAACGTCATACGATGCCCTCCAAGAACTGGACAACCATTCATTCGGCTATAGCGCGGTTGGCAAGTGGTTAAAAAGTGGCAGGCGGGGGCGTGGCTTGACCTCAGCCTATGATGGCAGCTTAGATCCGGAGCTCTGGCACCCGGCAGGAATCACTTGCGGCATACAGCTGCACAGGGCTAACTACACCCCAACAGAGCGGTTTGACTCGCCCAATCTCTGGCAACCTGCCCAGGAAAAGGAAAGAGGGGCATCGGCCTCAGAAACCGACGGCCTACTTCTCCCAGCCTCAACAGTGGCGTAGTCAAGATGGTGCCGGCTTTCCTTCCTCCTCTCTAGCGGTCACCTGCTCACCACATAGACAACAGAACAACCCTCACAAGAAAAAATAAGGCTCTGCTGGAACATTACAGGCCTCAACACTATCATTGAGAAGCCCTGAGAAATCCAGAATCAGGATGGATTACTCTAATCTGCAGAAATGTGAGGTGAGCTCTAAACCTGGCGCACAAGAAGATACCAGTGAACTACCAGAATCTATTACAGCTTTCCCCACATCTAATCAACCAATATTAGATACCACTTTAAAAGACATGTTAATCTCTCTAAGAAGCACCATACATATGGATATGATGGCTTGTATGAGGAAATTCAACTCTGAACTCACTGCTGTAGGGGACAGAGTGAATCATACTGAGACAAAGATGGGGGAATATGCCACCACAATTAATGATCTAATAGATGCACCTGATACCACTGAAGAGGAGCACATCTGGTTAAAAGCAAAACTCGCTGACCTAGAAGCAGGGGCGGACTGACCATTTGGAAACTCATGCACTGCCCGGGGTCAGTAGGGGGCCCCATGAGATGCCCCTGGTACCTTTTTCATAGGCTTTTTTGAGTTTGGGCAAGGACACAGGGGCCCCATGATCCCCTATTGCCCGGGGGCCCCATGAGTTGTCAGTCCGCCCCTGCCTAGAAGATAGGTCCAGGAGGAATAATGTTAAAGTTATAGTAATTTCAGAAACAGTTCAACCTGCTGCACTCAGTTCATTTGTTACAACATTTTCAATTCTTATTCCAGACCTGTCTCCACTGGAGTTAACTATAGATAGAATTCATCACATTCCAAAGCCTTCACATATACCAGAGCATGTACCAAGAGATTTCTTACTCCACACTCATTTTTTTCATGTTAAAGAGCGCTTAAAATATCACTCACACGCAATGCAGAACTTCGCTCTACTAACTATTCTGAACTCCAGTTTTACACTGATTTATCACAACATACACTGCAACTCCGCAAGAACCTGAATAACACCACAAAAGCTCTACAGAATCACAATATAGGATATAAGTGGGGATATCCTACTAAGCTGCTAGTTACTAAAGATTGCTCCACACATGTGATTAGCTCTCCTAACAAAAGGTCTACAACTACTGAGATCCTGGAACATCCTCCCTGGGGACCCACCAAAATCCCCAACTGCTAGTAGTCTAAATAGAATCTTGCCAGAATGGCAACGGGTGTCTAATTCATGACTGAATTACCTCTCTCTGTGGGGCATACCAACCAGGTGAGCATATGGCCCTAATAAAGTGAACATTGTCATTAGTAGTTTGAGCCTATGATATCACTCTAATATACCTGCGCAGAAGTATTCTGCACTTGGGTTTTTTTCAAACCCTCTGTTTACAAACTTGTTATCTTGTTAACTATTTTTTATGTTCAATTGATCTCTTGTTTTCTTATGGAACAAGGCCTTTGACTGCTTCAACAACCCTAATGTTTTCCACTATGGCCATCCAAGT